AGGAAAATTTGAAAGAGAAGGGTAAAAGAAATAGTGTCTAGCGTCCCCAGATGTCTGCACCCAGGTTGGGTGTGAAGGAAAAAAGCACTAAAAACTGCCCTTCAGTGCTATCAAGCATTGATGCTGCCAAAGAGTGGCTCTCTGTATATTTCAAATAACAGGACCAACACTGGGCTTACAAAGTGGCAGGGAAGAGAGAAGCTAAATGTAATGAATGACAGGCTAAGGCAATCTAGACCAGGGGTAAGCAAACTTTTTAGACAGAAGGGCCACCAGGGGCCATCAAACTGCGGCTTGTGAGCGTGTGGCTCTGAAGTAAAATTAAAAATGAAAATAAAACTATCACAGTTTCATTTACAAAAATTCTAAAGGATATTATTCACATAATGGTGATGATGTAAAAATATATTTATGGCTCCCAAATAATTTTTAAATTGTTGTGAGGGACAGGATTTGCTCTCCCAGGGGTTGGAAAACTTTTGAGACAGAACGTACCCAAAGAGCTGCATGTGGCTTGTGAGCCGCAGTTTGCCGACCCCTGATCTAGACTATTCCCAAGGAGGGCTGGCTGCACGGCGATTTAAGTGAAACTCTGCTTGAAGGCTGAAAAACGCAGGCAGGAAAAGGTAGGTTTCCCACTCACCTTGTCCAAAGATGGGACCAGGGCGATGATTCGTCTTCAAAGGAGGTCTGAGAGAGAAAGAAGATGAAGGCAGGACAGGAAAAAGGAAGCTAAGCTCACACCTCCTGTGCGTGAGGAAGCCTGCGGATGTTCGGGCAAGGGGCTTTACAAACACAGTTGTCAGTGCCTGGAAACCCTGCCCTGCTTCGTGGTCCCCTTACCTGGTGTGCAACGCTCTGACCCCGGAAAGGCAGGGAGGGGCGAGGTGGGGCTCAGCTCTCATTCATAACCATGGGCAGGAGGGTGATAAACAGGCAAGCGAGCTCTGAACGTGGGTGACTGGGTGCCAGCCTGCTGATCCAATGCCACCGCCCGCTTTCTCTTGTCTCTGCCTCAGGGACACCTGTGGATGTGCCAGTCTCTGAGTAGATAAGAACAAGCTCATCAGCTAGGGAAGCAGTGTTCCTGAGCTGGAAGGTTCCCCTGGCTTGCGTCCTGCACCATCTCCCGCATCTACCCACCGAGACCCTTCCCTCTTTTCTGTCGTCTTTCCCTCACCTCAGGGCCATGGGAGAGGGAAAACACAAAAGCCCTGCGTGACAGAAACAAATCACAGTCTATCACCACCATCGCAAGCCGCCCACAGCCCTCGCTGTTAAATGGGCATTTTCTCTAGTGCGTGCCCCTTCTGATCTCGGCTCACAAGCCCCTTCCTGGGGGAGAGCTGTCCACAGCAGGCGAAGTGTACGGAGAATAGTGGGCAAGCACTGCACCTCTTCCCTTTCAGACTCTGGTGGTCAAACCGGAGGACGTGTATGCGATGAACCCGCCCAAGTTCGACCGGATCGAGGACATGGCCATGCTGACACACCTGAATGAGCCCGCCGTGCTGTACAACCTCAAGGACCGTTACACCTCCTGGATGATCTATGTCGGTGCCGACACGGGCAGTGGATTCTTGGGGCATTTGATGGGCTGGGGCGGGGATGCTTGTATGGGTGATGGGATTTGGAAAGACTGGTGCTTAACTAAGTTGTTGAACAAAAGAGGGGAAATAGGAAGAAGAGAGGGGAAGAGAAAGACGATAAGAAAACAAGGGATGAATGGGGTAGGAAGAAAACAGGCTGGAAAAAGTGGGGGTGGGGAGGAGGAAGAGTGAACACGGAGCGCAGGAAAGACCGCTCTGGGCCTTAGCCTTGTCACTCACCGGCTGTGAAACGGCCGGCTATGCTCCTCTTTGAGCCTTGCTTGACTCACCTATAAACCGAAATTATATCTTCCCTCCTTTACTAGTTTATTGTGAGGAAACGTAAAAAATAATAAAGGCAAAAGATTGTGTATATACATACATACACATACATATGTCTTTTTTTACTCTCCCACAGACCTACTCGGGCCTCTTCTGTGTCACCGTCAACCCCTACAAGTGGCTGCCGGTGTACAACCCCGAGGTGGTGGACGGCTACCGAGGCAAGAAGCGCCAGGAGGCCCCGCCCCACATCTTCTCCATCTCTGACAACGCCTATCAGTTCATGCTGACTGGTAGGTTTCCAAGGAGGAGGCCTGGAGTGGTGGGGCAGGAGCTGGACAGGGCTCGGGAGAGCCGCCATGTGGCCCCGGGCCTGCCCCACCTGGCCTGTGACCTCCACACAAAGGAGAGGAGGGAAAAGGCACTTAAAGAGGCAGAAAGAGGCCAGATTTCTCAGGGCCTTAAGACCCTGGTGAAGAGTTTGCACTAATGCCAGTATTGGTTAAACCATAAGAAACTGATATTTTTGTAGGCTGAAACCAATATTGAAAATTTCATTTGGTTCAACCTAATATGACCAGAAGCCACTGACTGGTGACAAGCCACTGGCTGGTTTTAAACAGGAGTTTAACCTCTCTGAGCCTCATTCTCAAGCTCCCACCTAGGACTAATCAGAGTATTAGAGGGAAGAGGAATTGTGCATTGAACTCTGACTGCTTGAGAAATGGGGTAGAACTGGGAAGCTCTTTTTATATTGCCATCAACTCTGTTTTATTTTTTTCCTCTGACAGATCGTGAAAACCAGTCCATTCTGATCACGTAAGTATCCAAGGCCTACGTAGAGCAGTTTCATAGCTGTGGCTCCATGTCCTCAATGCAGAAGGCAAAGGCACCACTTTCTGTATTCTGTTCTTTAGAAAGTATTTGGAACAAAATCTATAATGAAAAGATAGATTTGGGGATGGGCAAGAAGGTATGTGGAAGGCCTCCGAAACTGGAATTACCCATCCTTGGGTCTGCTCCACGGTAGAGTCTTCCCTCGGGCCTCTGCCTGTCTGTGTGGTCTCTCCCTTTTGTTTGGTAGGTGTGTGTCTGATGTGGCTCAGCATATGTCCAGGCCTCTGGGTGACATCCCGGGGAGCCTCCGTATACTAACAGAACTTGTTTCTTTCTCTCTCTCTCTTTTGATTGCTCCAAATAGCGGAGAATCCGGGGCAGGGAAGACTGTGAACACCAAGAGGGTCATCCAGTACTTTGCAACAATTGCAGCTACTGGAGACCTTGCCAAGAAGAAGGACTCCAAAATGAAGGTATGCTGAGAAAGAAGGTTTGCTTTGCTTCTACTTCTAACCTTTGTCTTAACTTCTGAATGAGAGGACAAAAGGAGGCAACACTTCCCTGCTTCAGGGAAAGGAGAACAGGCCAGGATTTGAAATCTTGAAGGACAGCCAGTTATCTTAGACAACCCAGTGTGTGGCTGATCATACAGGACCAGATCCTGTCAATTTTCTGGAAAGTAAGGCTCTAAGGCTTAACTAAGAAAGATTAACTTGGGAGCAGCTCAGAGAGCTTCTTCTTTTATGGCAGAATAACATACACTAATTTGAGAGAACCATAGCGTATACTAGGGGTGCCAAAAAATGTATACAAGTGGACACTTTGGTCAACGTTGCTCAAGCAGTAGTTCACTGTAATCAGAAGTGTCTGGACGCTGATGGTAACCACTTTGAGTGCCTCTTGTAATTGCAGAAGTCAAATGTGACTTGTATTCATCTTTTTTTTTTATCGGGATATATTGAGTATTACAATTTTAATACAGTTTTTCTTTCTTAAAATGTGTATACATTTTTTGGGTACCCTCTGTACTTGCCTTTCTAAATGAAAATATTACAACAGTTTGAAGTGAATACAACCTAACTGCCTGGAGAATCAAGGAGCTGAATGAAGCATTAAAGAAATTTTAAGGCAAGACACCCAACCATAACTAAATCAAACAAAATGGCAAAAGTGTTTTGAATGTGATGTGCTGACGATTTTGTTGGTCCTCAAATGGGAAAGTCTGAGAGGGAGGGACTGGCTTTGCCATAGACTGCCAGGCAGCAAGGACAGGCCGCAGTGACAGAGCTTGGAGCATTGCTTACTGTCCTTCTGTGGCTTCTTCCTCCCTTGATATCATGCATTAGGGGACTCTGGAAGATCAAATCATCAGCGCCAACCCTTTGCTGGAGGCCTTCGGGAATGCCAAGACCGTGAGGAATGACAACTCCTCCCGCTTTGTGAGTCTGAGCTCAGGACCACTGGGATTTTCTCTGTGGCCTACAAGATAAGCAGGGTACCTGTCCTCACGGAGGTCACAGTCCAGTGGGGAGAGAAAATGTAAGAACGAAACAAACCAACAAGGAACTTTCAGATAATGATACATTTATATAAAGTTTAATAAATAGGGTATGTGATAGAGTAAATGGGGTCACGGTCTACTGGAGATAAGGTTGTCAGAGAAGGCCTCTCGGGGAGTTGTCCTGTGAATCCCAAGATCTGCAGGATGAAGAGGGACAAAGGTCAAAGCAAGTGCACAGTCTCTGAAGTGGGAGAGGGCCTGGTCAAGTCATGGGACCTAAAGAAGGTTCCAGCAGCTGCAGTGAGGTGGGCAAGGAGGCATGCTATGAGGTGAGGGAAGAGGCGGAAAAACACCTGGTCACATAGGAGCACATAGGAGCATGAGAAGGGGTTTAGATTTTATCCAGAAAGCTACTGAAGGATTCTATAAGCAAGAAAGTGATATGGTTTGATTTGCATCTTGAAAAAAAAATCACGCTCTTACTTTGTTGATTGGATAGGGGTGGGGTGGTTTGGAAGCATTGTGATTAAAAAGGGGATGAAAAAAAGGGAGGCACATCAAACTGGACAGAGAAGAAGGGAGAGAGAGGAGGACATATTTAATTTCAAACTATAGGAAAATAAAGCTCCTATTCACATGACCCAGGAGACTAGTAGGAACACCTGGAGCCATGGTAGATGCTGGTCTCTCTTTTCCCCCGCAGGGCAAGTTCATTCGAATTCATTTCGGTACCACTGGGAAGTTGGCCTCCGCAGATATTGAAACTTGTAAGTAGATTATTGGGATCAGATGATGTCTCAGGGTGGTGGGAAGCAGTTTGGAAAACAGTCCTGTGTTTGTGTTCATAGATCTGCTGGAAAAATCAAGAGTGACCTTTCAGCTGAAGGCTGAGAGAAGTTACCACATCTTCTACCAGATACTTTCAAACAAGAAGCCTGAACTCATAGGTGAGGAAGTCCCCGATGGGGTTGGTCTCTTAGGCATTTCAGCTCTGATATCACTGGACCAAGGAGAGCTGTGCTTAGAGGTAGTGGCCTTGACAGCCCACGGAGGGAGTTTGTTTTAGAAATGGCATGTGGCTGCATGGACAGTGACATACCAATTAAAAAACAAAAACCAAACAAACAAGCAAGCAAGCAAACAAACAAACAAACAAACAAACAAACAAACAAACAGAAAAAACCCCGAATCCAATGGACAGCAAGATTCAACAGCTACCGAATTCGGCATTGGTCCTTTTGAACAACTAAGCATTTAATTGTCCTTTAGCGCCCCCTTGTGTTCTAATACAGAAACCAACCTTTTACCAAATGCCGTGAGGCCAATGCAAAACTCAGATGAACAATCAATCTACCCTGTGGATAGTCACCCTGCCCTTTCTTTGGTCTGCACGTAACTGAGGCCTCATGTCCACGGTCTTCTTTGCCCTTTGGCTGTGTTTGCTCAGCCTTCTTGTCCCAAACCTGGAAATAGGGGGCAGCTTTTCAACAGGTTTTGGAAAAACTATGATTGGTATTATACCAAACAACCTATGTTTCCCTCAATTTGGGCTCTTTCCTGACCCACACTCATACAGTCCCTATTAACTCTGCTGAACCTACATCAATGTGCACCATTTGCTTGCAAAGCTAGAGAATTTAAGTACTGTATTCTCTCTAAGGCTCCTTAATCTACATTACATAGGCAGGCTGCAGTCTTCCCTGGACTTGATATTCAGCCACAGCCTGAGTATCTTTTCAAAAGACAGTTCTAACTCTAAATTCCAGTTGGGTTCCAGCTGTGAAAATCTCAGCCCAGAACACAGGAGTTCAAATCCACTGGGTGGATGCTTCCTTTGCATCTCTGTGACTTCCTCTAACTATTCATCATTTCAGAGCTGCTGCTTATTACCACAAACCCTTACGACTACCCCTTCATCAGCCAGGGTGAAATCCTGGTGGCCAGCATTGACGATGCTGAGGAGCTCTTGGCTACGGATGTAAGTAGAACTGAGAGAAAGGTGAGGGGTGCTCCTCCTCGGTCACTGGGGTCAACCAAGTGACGTGCTGTCCTTTCAATGCCAGAGTGCCATTGACATCTTGGGCTTCACCCCAGAAGAGAAATCTGGACTCTACAAGCTGACAGGCGCCGTGATGCATTATGGGAACATGAAGTTCAAGCAGAAGCAGCGAGAGGAGCAGGCAGAGCCAGACGGCACCGAAGGTACAAAATCACCACAACAGGGTAGAAGCCAAGGTTGAGTGGCTGTTCAGCTGAGGTTGTCCGTTGCCTCTTTTGAAAGTGATTAATCCTTTTTCCATCTGGAGATGTGAATCTCTCTGGGGCTCAGACGCCTATAGGTACTGTTACCACCCGTGTTTGCTGAATCATAGAATGGTCACAGTGAGAAGTGACCAGGGCTTTCTGGAACCCAATCCTGCCTTTTCACAAAATCTAGCATGTTCTCCGAGTGACTTAGCTTCCATTGGCTGCATATAAGCAGTTTAGAGATATGGAATGTAAAACACACTGAGATAAACTGAGCTAAGCTTTGCAACATCTGGATGACTTTCAAAGTGGTTCTACTTTGCCAAGCATCAGGGCTTGCCCTTCATGATCATCTTTCTTTTCTTACCAGTGGCTGACAAGACAGCCTATCTGATGGGCCTGAACTCTTCCGACCTCCTGAAAGCTTTGTGCTTCCCCAGAGTGAAAGTTGGGAATGAGTATGTTACCAAAGGTCAAACTGTGGATCAGGTAAGCATCTGCCTCAAGGCCGAGAAGGGACGCAGATACACACCTGCCACTGCCTTCAGGCCCATCCGCTGATCTTTCCCAACAGGTTCACCATGCTGTGAACGCCCTTTCCAAATCAGTTTATGAAAAGTTGTTCCTGTGGATGGTCACTCGTATCAACCAGCAACTGGATACGAAACTACCAAGGCAACATTTCATTGGTGTTTTGGACATTGCGGGTTTTGAGATCTTTGAGGTTTGTGTTGCTTATATTCATGCTTTCATGTGGCTTTGATTGGGGGGATTGGTTTCCATGACCCTATAGGGGGAAGGTGTCAAGGGGGCCAACATGTCATAGCACCACGGCTTGTAAGAAAGCTGGATGGAGGGTGGATCAGGTAGAAGAGAATGTGGGAGGGTTTGTATTATTTTAAGAGAGGAGGAGACTTATGTCAAATGCAATTTTAAAGATAATTGTCCAATGAATGAAAAAATAAATCAAATGCAATTATTGATTTAGGGAGAGCCAGGCATATAGAGAATCTGTTACTAAGCCAATCATACAACATTTTATGTAAATATCTTATTGGTTCTGGGTTAGAAGCATATTACCATTCATCAAAGTATATATTTGGTGTCTGCCAGCTATAAGACATGCAGGTGAACAAACGATGGGCTTGTAGTCTCTACAGAAAGAGGAAAAGTGTAGTATATAAGGCAGACCGTGGTCAGTGCACAGGAGAGGCCCAGACCATGGGAACTCAGGAGACGGGGACACACCTTCCAGTTGGAAGTTCAGAGAAGACTCCAAGGGGGAGATATGATCTGAGCAGGGCCTTGAAGAATGTGAGCATATCTGAACGCATAAATGAGCTGGCTAGAGCCTGAGCAACAAGGAGGAAGGTTGATGGGCCTTTGATTTTGACCTAAGTCTAACTTTTCGTGGGACCATTATATTTTGGTATTAGTACAACAGCCTGGAGCAGCTGTGCATCAACTTCACCAATGAGAAACTGCAACAGTTTTTCAACCACCACATGTTCGTGCTGGAGCAGGAGGAGTACAAGAAGGAGGGCATCGAGTGGACGTTCATCGACTTTGGGATGGACCTGGCTGCCTGCATCGAGCTCATTGAGAAGGTATCCTATTCTATCCATTCAGTCTCCTCTCCTCGTATACTCTGCCACTCACCACTGCAGCTCACGTTTTCCCCATCTGCATTTTACCTTGCCTTAATCTAGCCTATGGGCATCTTCTCCATCCTGGAAGAGGAGTGCATGTTCCCCAAGGCCACAGACACCTCCTTCAAGAACAAGCTGTATGACCAGCACCTGGGCAAGTCTGCCAATTTCCAGAAGCCCAAGGTGGTCAAAGGCAAGGCCGAGGCCCACTTCTCGCTGGTGCATTACGCGGGCACCGTGGATTACAGCGTCTCGGGCTGGCTGGAAAAGAATAAGGACCCCCTGAATGAGACGGTCGTTGGGCTGTATCAGAAGTCCTCCAACAGGCTCCTGGCACACCTCTATGCCACTTTTGCCACCACAGATGGTAACAGACTCATTGGAGTACCTTGTAGTTACACTTTCTCTCTCCATTCAGTCCACAGGACTGAAACATCTGTATAGATCTGCTAACAGCAAGCACCATGTTTTACTTCTTTCAGCTGACAGTGGAAAGAAGAAAGTTGCCAAGAAGAAGGGTTCTTCCTTCCAAACTGTGTCTGCCCTTTTCAGGGTAAGAAAAATACAAGTTTATTTGCTTGCAGTTGGTTTAAGTCATCTCCAAATGAACAAGGGAGGAATTCCAAACTTGGTTTATTCAAGTATAGTAATGTGGTCTTAATCTGGTTACTGTCACTTAGTGAAGTTGAGTGAGGGGATGATGGTACATCCATGAGGTTTAACAAATGTAGGACTAGAATTTCATTATCATTTTGGATGGCCACAAGCTGAATTGGCTGGTCTGGGAGGTGAGTCCTCAGCACAAAATTTCTGACTTGCCTGAAGGACACAGGCAATAGCATCTCGCAGTGGGATTTGACACATCTCTTGAGTTGATTTCAGAGGGCATTTTGTACTTGGTTAGTCTCTGGCTCACTGTGAAGCAAAAGACTATTATATAAGTTATTTGCCTCCTCCTCTAGCAGTAGGACTATTAAAAGAAAGAATTAAGTAATTCCATCATTCTTTAGAATTCATAAGTTTAAAACATATATTTTATATTTCATTACAAGATATCTCTGTGTTTGTAAAAGCTGACAGTAAGCTCTCAAACTTAATCTTTTTCTTTTAGGAAAACCTGAACAAGCTGATGTCAAATTTAAGAACGACTCACCCTCACTTTGTGCGCTGTATAATTCCCAATGAAACCAAAACCCCAGGTAAGACACCTGCTGGCTCCCTAGATGGTGGTCCATTTTTAAGAAGCTCTGTGTGAAGCTGATGTTTCTTGCTTCTGTTCTCAGGGGCTATGGAACACAGCCTTGTCCTCCATCAGCTACGCTGTAACGGTGTCCTGGAAGGGATCCGTATCTGCAGGAAGGGGTTCCCAAATCGGATTCTCTATGGGGATTTTAAACAAAGGTGTGTCATAAAAATGTTCTATGATATTCTTGTTCTATAAAAATGTTCTATGATATTCTGGAACTTGAGACAGAGAAATACTGATGAAAACACCCATTTCAACAGAACAGTTATGGACTGCCATGTAAAATGAATAACCTATCACTTGGCCAAGGTATACATACTTCTTTCTTCCAGTTTTCTCAGAAGCTTATCTGATACAGACATGGCAGAAAAATGCCTGGCCTAAGATTTAGGAGGCCTACATTCTAGGCCATTATCTAGCAGTGTGATTATGGGCAAGTTTCTTTCACTCTCTGGACCTTAGCTTTCTTGCTTATAGGAAAAGAAGCCTGAATTGGATAATCTCCAAGGTTTGTGTTTTTGCTAATAGTCTCGGATTGTTTCTGTGTCTACCGTGGCAGATACCGAGTGTTGAACGCCAGTGCAATCCCTGAGGGACAATTCATCGACAGCAAGAAAGCCTGTGAGAAGCTGTTGGCATCCATTGATATTGACCACACTCAGTACAAATTTGGACATACCAAGGTAATGCATCAATTCCGACAGATGCTGG